CCAATGCAGCCGGTAGCATATCACAGTTTTCCAGCTTCATAACTGCAAAATATCAACTGCACAATTACGAATTCACATATTAATACGACTTTTTGACAATGGCGACATTTTTGGTTAAAATTCGCATGTCATATTTTTCAATGATAACTGTGTTTTTTTACCAAAGTAATTTTTTACGTGAACGTCGAAAGATTTAGAATTGGCCATTTTGTTACCAGAATAAAAAAATTGGTCTAAAGAGTTTAGACAGTACTTCCCTCGCTGTCGGAAACTTGACGACTGCATGCCTATTGTGTTTTTTTTTTCTCACTACATTTTTGTAGTGGGAATTTAAAAAAAAAATGTGATGACGTCATCAACATTTTTGCAAGGACACGTATATCAGTTGGGATAGATGTAGTGTAATACTAAGAATAAAATTATTGTATTCCCAAATTTTCCGGAAAATGAATCGGGTCGTTTTGAATATTGATTTGTTATAATCAATAAAATAACGAAACAATTTACTCACGTATACGGCGCCGGTGTGTAATATCTAGAGAGCGGATTTCTGTCGGGCTAGGCAAGGCCAAACTCGGTACGGCTCGTACGGGATGCGAATTCATTGCGGTTGCGGACTGCACTTCGTTTATTTGAGATTAGAATAACGCTGTTTCGTTGCACTCTGCTGTTAATTCCCGTTCTCATTTACTTAGCCGTTTGATTAATAAATCGTTAATTATATTTATGGAATTAGTACCGATTAAATTCAGTGATTATCTATCACCCGGCGATCCAGCGCGTCCCCACCTATAATCGTGACGTAGCCCGACAGAAATCCGCTGTCTAGTAATATGAGGGGCAACTGAAAGTCGTTTATGTATAACCATTCTTAATTTAAGATGACAAGCGTAACAGCATACGTGAGACTCAAACAGAGAAACTGTAAACAAAACGACCATCGGTTTTATTGCTTCGACTTCCGCTTATTATATAAAACATTGGGTTTTATTTTCAATTCTTGACGGTGAAATTCACAATTGGTTGATTATAAACATGTCTATTCCACATTCGCGGAACCAAGTGAGCGCATAAAACAAATGCAGGTCTGTAATGTTAAAGTCGATGTAAATAAGCGTGCTACCCTTATGTTTCAATCGAGTTTTTCCTTTAACAAATTTTGTGTCTACCAAATTGGGTTGGTTGGGGTGTAATACTAATAATAAGTGTTGCCTTTAATTTAATCAATAAAATAAATTGACTTCATTAATTTTTTTGAACCACCTCTTAAGAAAATCTAAAAAATATGAATGGAATGATAAATCACAAGTACAAACTCATCATATTTTTTGCATTTTAGATAGGATTTATTCAGCAAAATTTAAGGGTGACGTCATCAATTTTTTTAGGAGGGATGAACAAATACATTTTGAACAAAAGTTTACCATGCTTATAATAACTTTAAAATATTCCCAAGATTTCAAAGCATTCGGTTTTGTAGTTTCTGAGTAAATCAGTAAAATAAATTTACGCTTTCATTATTTTTTTTTAATCACCCTGTATATGCAAATCCAAAAAATATGAATGGAGTGATAGATCACAAGTACAGACTGATCATATCTTGTACATTTTAGATATGATTTATTCGGCAAACTTTCGAGCTGACGTCATCAAGTTTTTGGAGGGGATAAGCAAATATATTTTGACTAAACATTTATTATGCTCTTTATGACCTTAAAACATCTACAAGATTTCAGAGCATTCGGTTTTGTAGTTCCTGATTAAATCAATAAAATATATTTACGCATTCATTAATTTTTTTGAGTCACCCTGTATATGCAAATCCAAAAAATATGAATGGAGTGATAAATTACAAGTACAGACTCATCATATTTTTACAGTTTAGATAGGATTTATTCGGCAAACTTTCGAGCTGACGTCATCAATTTTTTGGAGGGGATAAGCAAATATATTTTGACTAAACATTTATTATGCTCTTTATAACCTTAAAACATCTGCAAGATTTCAAAGCATTCAGTTTTGTAGTTTCTGAGTAAATCAGTAAAATAAATTTACGCATTCATTAATTTTTTTGAGTCACCCTGTATATGCAAATCCAAAAAATATGAATGGAGTGAGAGATCACAAGTACAGACTGATCATATTTTGTACATTTTAGATCGGATTTATTCGGCAAACTTTTGAGCTGACGTCATCAAGTTTTTGGAGGGGATAACCAAATATATTTTGACTACAGATTTATGATGCTCTTTATAGCCTTAAAACATCTGCAACATTTCAAACCATTCGGGTTAGCAGATTCAAAATTAAATTGCAAAATGTTGTTTTATAATTTTGAATTTTCTTCCAAAAATCTGGACGTTTCGGCTAAAAACTCAATTCGGAGTCGTAAACTACATGTGTAGGATTATGTTATTTTATACAATTTAAAACCCATTTACTATGTATAATTTTGAAGTGACGTCATCGCATTAGTGGTGGGGATGATTAGACAAATTTTGGTTAGCGTTTTACCATCTACATGATATTCCTAATATAAGTACAAAATTTTATAACAATCGGTCCAGTACTTTCGGAGATTATCTATCTAATAAAAATCCGGGACGGCAGACAGACGGAAATGGGAGACCTATTTCTTCGTCTTCTAGAGGTCATGAAAGATTGAGAAAACGTAAAAGTAGGGAGTTGGCCGACGGACTCGATTACAATACTTCCTTTGCTTACGCTCGGGAAGTAAAAATGGATGATAACCATCTACTACAAGAGGATGAATATTATGTGAAATAGTTTTGACAATATTTTCAGAGGAAATTATTACATCAAGAATTCTAGACTTTATTTGACTCAAAAGGACTAAAGTCTCCTACTATGATGCAGTTTTGTGATAAATCATATGAAACCTCAAGATGATCGAATACTGATTCATATAATTCAGGAGATGTAGAAGGTGGAAAGTAAATATTGATGACAATAATTTGAACTCCTTTGATATTGATCCTCACCACTAATAAGTCTATTTCACGATGTGGCAATTCACTCTTTAACACATCTGCAGAAAATCTATGATGAACTACAGTTAGTACGCCACGCCCTTTTCTTCCATTCGAAGACCTAAAGACTTGATAAGTATCACCAAAATATTCACTTGATTTAACACAATCCTCCAACCATGTCTCAGTAAGTAATACAAGATCATAATCACTACTAAGGATGTTTAAATAAAATTCGTCTATTTTAGTATTCAATCCGCGGACATTTTGATTTGCCTTGAGTTCATATAAATCTCCTGACCGTTGGATTGGACTCAGTTTTTTCTACTAGTAATACCTAACGTAGTTTTAACAATTTTTGGCATACCATTTATATATTTTAGTTTGATATCCACCTCTCCTCCTTCTTTCCTACCTCTAAATTGCTTTCTTATTAAGTATGCCATATTCCTTTGCCGCACTGTAAAATATCTATTTACATAAATATTATCACGCGTTCGATATGATTTGAGGACCTTAAGAACATCATCCGAAGAATTTCTAACTAATAAAGGAATACAGTGTCATTGTAATTTTTCCGCTTTAAGCGTACACACTTGACTTGAATTTTCAGCGATACCTACTATTTTCACAACATTAGTAAGATCATTATCTCTCCTGTCTTCTAGCCCATGATCTGGTTACGGCAAATTACGAGTATAAATTATTAAATTGTTCGCACGATCGTGGCGGTCTAATATCTCAGTGATAATTTCTTCATCTCAATCACTATCAGATTTAGCATTGACTACAGCGTTATCAGCTGATTGTTTACTAATCTGGTTTTTCATGCCACTCAATTCGTTTTTCAATTGATTCAATTCTTGTTGACGATTTAAGACAACGTCCACGATTTTACATTTTTCACAAAAATATCTAACCTTACTTGCTGTCCACTTCAGACACTCAGCTTCCTGTGGAGATACACCGGCACAGTTGGGATGAGAAATTTCCCCACAGATATCGCACGACAAACCATCCTTGCAATTCTTTTTGCAAATATGGCACTTCAATGACATTATTAATAATTATTTAAAAACTTACAAAATGACTAAACAGACAATAAATACAAGAAAATTTAAGTTTATATGCCTGCAGTAGTTGTTAATAATTTGTTCTATATTTACTAATGTATCAGTAAATTTATAAACAGGTTTAAAAAACTTATTTTCTTCATAACAATTCTGCAAAAAATCTTTCATACAACCGTCCTCACATGATCACCAATAAGTGTAAAAAGTTCGAATCATTGCTTTTATAAATTATTATTCCGATACATATAAAATGTTTCTTTCGGCTGGTCTGTATACAAAACTCACTTGACATACACCCTGTAAAACTTTTAAGACTTAGGCGGCTTAACGCAAACCACCCTTAGAAGTCAAACTGGCTATTGTATAGCTTAACTCAGTTCACATGTACCTAGTAAAACTTTATCCATTATTTTTGTCCATTGCTTCATTATGGCAGCAATGGACAGTAATAATAATAAGCTTACAATTTACTTCAGCTATGTTTCCGGAACACGTTTAAATTCGTTCATCCAAAAAATAAATAGTTTTCGACGCTTGTGCTTGTATAGACTCTGTGGACTTCATCCAACTCGGCTTAATTTGCACCGTCATGCACTTCTTTAGATAAAAGTGTTTTATCAATGAATAAAACTAGTGTTTTTCAATTCTTGTAAAAAAAAAAACGAAAAAGTAGTCAACTCAAAAGCTGAAATTTGGCCACAGGTTCTATCAACAATTATCCTTGATAACAGCAATGCCATTTAGCAGACAATCACATGGCATCATACAAATTTACTACACTTCTCAAACAGCCCCCGTATTGTAAAACTGACTCTAGTAGAACTATTGACTTTATCTTCTTTTGACATCTGTGTCAAAATTTAGTTTATTCTCTTATTATCTTCCCAAACATTTTGATTTACAATGTTGTCATACATTTTTCTTTTGTTATTTCCAGGTCTCGTTAAACGAATTTATGCACAGAAGACCGAACCATCGGAGAAAAAAAAATACAAAAAGACGTATCTGCCAAAACAAAAACCAAGTGATGGTAAAATAATAATTTATTATTATATTATTATTTATTTTTAAATTGTTTTTTTAATGTTGCAGCAGACACAATTAAACGAATGTTGGCGAATCTACCGCCAAAACGAGCAACACGCAGAATCATGTGTCTTAAGGATGGTTTTAATACTTCTAGATCGAGACAAACAAAAGTCACCAAACAATCAAAGTTCAAATGTGGAAAATTAATTCGAGGAAGAGCAAAGGAACAAAAAAACGATGTTGTTAATGCAGAACATGAGAAAACCCAAAAATGTCAAACTAATAATTACAGACGATCCTTAAGATGTTTGAATAAGGTTTTAAGCAGCCGAATACTAGATACGAATACCTCATTAATTGTGAAAAGGAAATGCAATCGTAAAGTTAAAACCAGACAAAAGAAAAAGTCTGCTGTCTCTCAAGGCAACGGAGACGTTGCCAATTCAGTAAACGAGGGGTGTAGATTTAAAAGTTCTTCCAAAAAAGTAGCAAAATCAAATAATGGGGATAAAGTGCAATATAATAATGACAGACAAATTAAGGAAATATTAAAATTTAAACGATCTTCTCCACGTATCGAAAAATTTAATTCATGTGTCGACAAAATGAATATAAAGCATTTTTTTCCCGTAAAGAAGAACAAGAAGAATATGGGTAGTGTGAATCACAGCGTAAAAATTATTTGTCCAGAACTTGGGGAAAATGATTTTACAGAAGTAAATAAATCACAAAATAATAGAGCAATGTCCTTGGCGATTGATAATGGGCAGTTAAATAATATTAATTTAAGAAAAAGAAAAATTCAAAAACATGAAAGTAACATCCCAAAACAATTAAAAAATGCCAAATCTTTACGTAACAAAAAACGAAAGTTAAAGAATAGTTCCGTAAGTACTGTCAGCGAAGCTAGTTTACAAGTGGATATACCTGAGTGCATAACTAACAAGGGCAGTGGTCAAACCGAAATAAGAGATTTTTTCGAAAAGTGTCAAATTGTGAAAGGTAGCGATTCTCCATCTTTTAATATGACAAAGTTAGTAGACGTTAATATTTCACAAAAAGATCAAGGTACACGTAAGGACAATCAGCAACCAAATTCTAACAAAAATAAATGTACCAATGAGTCCATTTTACAAAATACATCTATAGAACGGATAACTGAAAGTGCAGAAGATCGCAAGTCATATTTAATTCAGTCGTTCAGATCGAAAAAAAAAGTAAAGAAACCTGTTCGAGGTTTGAATGACTGCATAGCCATGTTAACAAATAAGTTGGGCATTGGCAACACACAGAGTATTATTACTGAGGAAGTGCCGAGTCGACTGTGTTTAGAAAATTCACATGTTGATCAAAGTAATAGATCCAAATATATACTGAAGGTACCACTTTTTGAAGAAGAGTTTCAGTCACCTTCTAGTGACGAGCGCAATGTTTCCCACACAAATGAAATTGAACATTCCAGGTGCAAATCAATTGCTGTTAGTGAAAAGACTGTTCCCCTTAAAATTGTTTCATCAAATGAATTGCGTGATTTGAACTCTCGTGGAGTGGAAATCAGCGACAATGGATTCTCAAAGCTCGAAAAAAATGCCGAAAACCATATAAAAGTTGCAAATCATAGAGTAATTGAAGAAAAATGTATTAATGAAAATTCAACGAATGCGGGAAAAGCGTTTATATGTGATATACAGAATAATTGCAGGCCGAGTTCAGACATAACTTCTGACGGTTACATAATGGCAGAAGAATCTGAAAAAATGATTGACATCGCTTCAAACGAAGAGGACTTACAATGTTTTGGCCACATCCTTACTTGTGAAGAAAAAGAAAAGACAAAAGAAATCTTGGATTTAAAAGGTATTCGCGACACCGATTCCGAAGATGAAATACCTCTCTCTAGTCTAGTTTTAAAAAATGACCAACATGATCGGAACTTATTAACCAGTACGAACGAACATAAATTCAGTGAATTTCAGGAAATTTGCGATGACGTATTGAGCAGTAATAAAATACGCGGGTTAACATTTAAAATTTCATCGGCTAATGAAGCACTCAGAGAAGGTGTCGACACAAGCACACTTCAAATTGAAACAATTAAAACTCCTGTAGGGATTGAAACAGATAGAGACAACAATGTTTTGAAAATTGACAATGATTTAACTTTAGATGAAGATCATTTATGCAACAGGAAAAATGTTGCAGTGTTGACTGAAATTAGCGACAATTTATGTGAATATCCTATGAGTCTGAATGTTGGTATCGCCATACATATTGAAAATAGCGTAGTTAATAATAGCATCAATCATGAGATAACAGGAAGTGAACCGTTTACAGTTTGTAGCACATCACCCCACTATACAGGGAATGCTGTAAACTCTAATTTTCTGAAAGGTTCCCAAAAGAATGAAAATGTTATTTCTCTAGATGCTAAAAACTGTAATGATCCGGAACCAAAATTGGAAGAATTTGACTATATTAGAAAGAGAAATGTTGATGCTGCTGCGTGGGAAGATACAATTATTACAAATGATGCATTAGGCAGTGAAACGTTGAGTATTGTTAGTTGCGATATCGACAACAAACATAGAAAAGATTCTTCAGAATACAAAGAAAATTCATTACGATTACTGGAAGAAACTGGAGGGAAGCGAAAACACAATAAGAAATCGACATTTACAAATGAAGAACCCACTAATAATAAATCGTCAAAATTCCTCACCGAATTTCACATAAGAGAGACTGTTGTTGAACCACAAAAAAATAGTAACAATAAAAAAAGTTTCATAAATACGAAAACAAAAATTTTGGGATGTATGGCTGAAGATGTTTCATTCGACTTATCCGAAAATAAATTACGTAGCCAGAGTAATTTAAAAAGTGGGCTTGAAATTGAAAATATGAATAAAAGTGTATATAGAGGAAAAGATATATTTAAAAAATCTAATAAAAAGCAAATAAATGCTTCTGCACTCAAATCCGGGCAACAACCAATGGAACCCAGCACACTTTGTAAGGTCATTAGAATCAACGATAACGAAGGCGGCTCTTTAAAAGAATTAACTGAAAATCACAGTCTCAAAAAAGTAACTGAAATGGATAATCAAGAAATGACAGTTGGTGAAGATCTACACGCGGATGGCAGCGGTGTCAAACAATTGAGAAGAAGTTTGCGAAATTCGAAAAAAGTAACTTGTTACAGTGAAACCGATGTAGTAGATTCAGTTCTCGACGATTTGGACTGTGATAGAATTGACGATTTGGAAAGTAGTAGAACTGACGACTTGACTAGTTTTACAGCTGACGAGAGTGGTAGAACTATATCAAAATTATTAAAAGAAAGAACTAAAGATATGTTTGGCACAAAACGTAAGAATCGAAAATCATCACAAAAAAAGTCCTTGAAAAATGGCGAACATGAAAAAAAGTTTAGTGGCGATGGATCGTTTGATTTATTAAAAACATCAATGAATGAAAGTATGTTATCAAAATCTGTCAATACATTTGTCAAAACATTAGACAAAACTTCTCACGATTTCAATGCCGACAATTCTGATATTTTTGAACATAAAATGGACACCTCGGTAGCGGTCAACACAGCAAATTTCTCTCAGAAAATGTTTCCCTTGTCACAAGAAATCACAGAACAAAAGCTTACTTATGTTAATGATAACTATTTCGATTCGAGTGCTAAAATCCTAGGTCATAAAAAGAAAAAAACAAAATGTAAATCTAAAAAGCATAAATCAAACAATGGAAATAAACTTAACGCGCCAGTTTTCGCCAACATATCTTTTGGTGAGAAAGCTGTACTGAATAATGTTTGTTCTGACAATGTGAATAATCTTGAAAATGTAAATGACTCTAATCACTGCCGAAATCAAGAAGTATTTTGCGAGATCTGCAATAGACAATTTCGTCGAATAAGTTTAAGTAAACACAGGGGCACAATAACTCACATTGCGGAATTGTCAAAGTTGGATCTTAAAGAGGCAGCCTTACAAAAAAAATATAACGATATAAATACAAATGAAGAAACCGCGAATATTGTATCTGATTCTAGCAAAGATACGATTTTGTTAAATACATTAGGAAAGATGAATGCAAAAGAACCCGAAGACGCGGCGTTAGACAACGCTGAAGATTCACCCATTTTGCCAGAAATTTTGATACAGCGTGAAAATGAAATACAATCTGGTACACGTAGATGTAAAAATCTTGCCGAACGGAAAAGTTTCGAATCTGAGAATTGTTTTTCCATAGCAAAACACGAATGCCATAATGTGAAAAGTGTTGACTATTTTGAACCTGAGATAGTTAATGGTGCGGCAGGTACTATCGTAGAAAAACAACTAACGTTACTACAGAATATTATTGAAAACCGCTCCGGTTTAGGTTGTAAAGAAGACCTTTCAGATTCTTTGTCGTCGACTGCTAATGAAATTTCTGCAAAAACTGATGGTGTACCTGAAAAGATAAATTCTGTTTCTATGTACGCAAAATCCTGCAGCGAGGATCTTACTCCAAAACAGAATATCCAAGAATGTTCCCTGGATGCATCACAGTTTAAAGAAATTTCTGAAACCAATCTAGGAAACTATGATGAAGAAGAATTAATTATGACCCTAAGGGGAGATGAAAAGCTGTTCTTTGAATGCTGCAGTCTCTTAAAAAATCGTTCAAAAGTATCAAGTTATTCTAAAAAATCGAACAACTCTTTCAAAGGTTCAGTTAATTTGATGCCTAAAACCTGCGGCGAAGGTACGATTTGCTTAGAAAGCAATTGTTCATCTCAGAAAGAAAATGAGGATTTTGTAGAGCATTACTCCGATAGCTCGAAGATAACAACCACATTAGGCGAGAGTTTTACTCAGGAAAAATCTAATTCTGGTATAGTTTCTTTACAGTGGGACAAAAATAACGCTTATCCAATATCTGATAAGGAAATTTGGAAACAAGATTTGACCCCACAAAATAAAAATTTAACATTTGAAGAAGTTTTTAATGACAGAACGAACAAAGTTTTGTCATACAAAGAAAGCAGAATTGAAGAATTACATACTATTGTTTCTTCGTTTGACCGTGTCCTAACAGAGGTTTTAAATTCCGAACTGAATGCATCGAGTGAAGACAACGTTAAAAAAAGGTAAGTGTATACTCTAAACTACAACATATTTCTTTCTGTTTGATTATGAGAAATTTGCTTAATTATTGTATTAAATTTAATTTAAACAAAAAACAGGACATACAATGGTACTTTTAATATAAGCTAAAAGTCATAGTTGAACCTATAATCATTTTAAATTATGATGTATATGAAAACAAAATTGTATGCACAATAATTAATAACTAACGAAATGGTCGGTTGAAAGAGTAACGGTTAATCAATTTTCGTAACCCCATACTGTTATCTCACTTTAATCGAATTCAATTGACAAATGAAAAGTCATGTTCAACAGCCTCCGTCGGTTAAGGATTATAACGGCCGCCAGCCACACTTTTAAAATAAGAACAATTTATCATACCTATAATCTAATGAACATATTGTTACGAAATAAACCCATACGCCGCCCCGGTACGACGCTTATGGGTTCTAGTATATACGGCGACGATGACTCATTGTCCGTAACGGCGGCCGGATAAGAGCCTGGAAGCGGATGTCGCGACGGGTGTTCGAGAATAAGCCTAGAAGCGGTGACGGAGACCTTCGAGAAGAACCGGGCGGCTGTTTAAATGGAGCAGTTAGTGTAGTCCAGACAACGAGAGCTGAATTCAGTTAACAAGTCGAGTCCAACGAGTGTCTAGAAAACCCAGTGAATGTTGCGCCGGAGTTATTTTGTACCTAATCGCTCTGTAATTAGTCGTGTAACTCCGAAATTGTTGTTTTACGCACGCCGATTTTTAATCACCCGATCAACGTAACACTGGAATCAAAAGTGAGATTTGAGATTAATAACTGGTTGTACGACTTCCGGCGATCGGACAAGAATTCTAAAGAACTTAAAGAATTTATGCCTATCGAAACGAGAGCTCAAGCTGCGAAAATGGAGGAACAGGTAAAGCAGATGATGGCTATTCTCGCAGAAATGAAAAAAGAAATGAGCGCAAGAATGGAAAAAATGGGCGCAAGCAATAAAGAAAAGGGCAAAAAAATGGATGCAAGAATGGAAAAAATGAATGCAACAATAGAAGAAATGAAGGAAAAACTCGACGCAAGAAATAAAGAAATGGATGAAAAAATGGATGCAAGATAAAGAATGAATGAAAAATGGATACAAGAATGAAAAAATGGACGAAAAAATAAATAAGCACATTAGCCTGACTGAAAAATTCCAAAAGGAAGTGGAAGCAAACAATATTGTCGGACGAAATATGATGTCAATGGAAAATAACATGGAAGATCGAATGTAAATTATAGAAGATCGAATGGAGAACAAAATGAAGAAATTTGAAATGTTAATGAAAAATGCAATAACGACTGGTTCAGGCTATGTGACGTCGGCCCCCAGAACGATTCAACCACCCACCTATGATGGTCAGACACATTGGTCATCGTACAAAAAGCAGTTTGAGGCAGCAACGACAGCGAATCTTTGGGCAGAGGAACAGAAGGCCTTGCGAGATGCAGCGCTATAGATACTCCAAACTCTGTCTGAAGAAGATAGCAATAGATACAGTGCCCTGACTATTGCTCTGGAACTTCGATTTGGGGATGAACATCTGAGACAGGTTTTTGCAACCCAAGTGAAGACAAGAACCCAGAAAGTTGGAGAATCCTTATTTTTGTATTAATAATAATAATCCCTTCAAGAATTTGAAGCAGATGTCAAGAGACTGATACGTCTTGCATACTCCGACGCACCACCAACTTATCAAGAGAAGCTTGCGACAGAAATCTTCGTAAATGGCATTCACAACGTTGAAGTTAAGAAGGTCGTACAACTATCAAGGTATCAGACATCATCTGAGGCCTTGATTCGTGCGCTGGAAGTGGAGGCGGCGTACAATTCTTCAAGAACCTGCCACAAAGTCAGAGTGGCAGAACTAGAGATGGAAGAAAACGATGGAATAAGGAAGGTGCTGGAAAAACTGTCACAACAAATGGATGGTATATCTCAAGGATGCCTCGTAAGATAAACCTAGCATGCTACAGGTGTGGGCGCCAGAGACATCTCAAACGTGATTGTCGTGCTCGATCACTTCTAAGAAGAAGCACGCAACAGGGATCTCACCGAGATGTAGAAGGAGCCAGTACCCTGGGGAATGGGTTCGCTGGTGAGAATATGGTCACCAGCGAAGTGAAAATAAGAAGTTTCACCAGAGGTAGTGGTTCAACTATACCGGGGAAGATTTATGAAAATCCGCACCAGTCACCATCGATACTGGCGCTGAGGTACCAATTGTACATAAAGGACTCGTGAGAGCTGAAGATGTAGAACCTATACCTGAAACGATAAGATTGAAAACTGTAACTGGAGAGTCGACGCCAGTCATGGGCAAAGCATCGGTAGAAATCTGTATTGGTCAGCTTAGAATAAGACTTCGGCCTCTCGTGGCTAGCACGGAAGATGATTTCATTTGGGGAATGGAATTGATTAGCCGCCATGGATTGACCATTGATCCAGTGAGGGAAGTCCTACGTCTTGGAAATGAAGAGTTCAAGCTGAATCAGCGTTCTATTGAAGCGAAGCCCGCAAGTTTTATCGCTTATCAGAACTGCAAACACTGCCACGAAGTTGAGCAGCGCGAAGCACGGTTCAAAAGCAGGAATAAAGCAGTCGTAGAAGATGATAAATGGACTACAGCTCGGTGTAGAAAAGATCAGGAGAAAGGCGTGGATATTGGACCGCTCCTCAGATGGAAAGAAGATGGTGTAGAACGGCCAGGTTGGTCGGAGATATCAAACGAGTCATCTTCTCTCAAGGCGTTATGGCCTCAATGGGACTCCTTGCATGTCGAGAACGAGTTGCTTAAGCGAGCCTGGGAGACTCCGGACTAAAGACATGTCACTTTGCAGTTGGTGGTTCCGGCCACCAGAATCAAGGAAGCACTTCGAGAGATGCACAATGGGAGTTCTGGTGCTCATTTTGGAATCAACAAGACGCTTCCCAAAATTAGGGAGAGATTCTACTGGGTCCGTTGCCGGCAAGACATCGAGAACTGGTGCAAGAAGTGTAGGACCTATGCAGCGGTTAAAGGACCGCAGATTAGGGCGAGAGGGCCGATGCAACCACACAACTTCGGTTCGCCTTTTAGAAGAACCGCAAGAGACGTAACGGATCCCGTCCCAGTGACCGAAAAAGGGAACAAGGGAACGAAAAAGAAGAAGCTACCGCGAGTTCACGAAATGCTGCGCCCCAAGAGTAGAGTGGAGCGTGGTAGAATGAAGACATGTTACGATCTTAGGGGCAAGTCAGTAGGATTCCAGGCGGGAGATTTGGTATGGCTTCATAACCCCCAAAGAAGGAATGGTTGTTGCCCGAAATTGTTACTAGACTGGGAAAGTCCATATACGATCGTGACGAGGATCAACGATGTCGTTTACAGGATTCGACAAGGGCCGAAGACGAAAACGAAGATTGTTCACTTAGGCCGCCTCATGAAGTACAGCAGCAGCGCCGTTGACGTTTCTGATCGAGACGATCAGAACTAAGGAGGGGGCAGTGTTAGGAAATAAACCCATACGACGCCTATGGGTCCTAATTTATACGGCGACAATGACTCATTGTTCGTAACGGTGGCCGGAGAAGAGCTTGGAAGCGGATGTCGCGACGGGTGTTCGAGAATAAGCCTAGAAGCGGTGACGGAGACCTTCGAGAAGGAATGTTGCGCCGGAATTATTTTGTACCTAATCGCTCTGGAATTAGTCGTGTAAATCCCAGTTATTAAGAAATAAAATTGTTGAGCTTTACACACGCCGATTTTAATACCCCTTTAACGTAACAATATAGTCTATTTATTGTAATGAACTTGAAAATCGAATTCGCAGTTGCTGTTATTGCTCCAAAGATTCCACAGATTAATACAATCTTCTCAAGTAACCAGGTAGAAAAAAAAAATGCCTCTAACAACAAACACCTTCGTTATATCCTGTGCAGATAAAAGAAAATTTATGGTCTGTAAACATCAGATTTTCTTTTCAAAAATAAAAATAATTTACCCAGTCTGCAAGATACATAATGTCTAGAATATACACCAAATTGTCATAAACTTTCAAAACAAGTTTCAATCAACATCGAAATCTTGGTCACCAACGTCGTGGCGGCACATATCTCTGAGTTCTCCTTTACGTTAGCTAGTAATACAATTTCGTTAACCAATTTTACATTCTTCCTTTTGTGTCATATTTGAAATCTTCTGATATCTTCCTTTAGTTCTTTCCTGCAGCAAATGCACGCTTCCTGCACATGATTCTGCTAATATTCAAGCGCAAGTGCCAAGTTTTCTTTAATTTCTTCCGTAATTATTGTAAAATGACATGAAAGTCTATAAAAGTTGTTAAAAATGAATTTTGTTTATAAAATTCTGTTTCATAGCAGCTGCCTCCCATGATGTGACGATTTTATTTTATGGATTTGCGAAATTTTAAATTTTGCTCCTCTCTCAGAACCAAGAATAGAATTTCCAAATGGGATTACGAAAACTGTTAAATCATACACGACGACGGTCGTATACGAGTTGCGGTGCAAATTTTATTCAAATAACAGCTACTCGGGTATTTGGATAATTTTGACCGAATTGCGGTAAAAATTTAGGCCAAGTATCAGGTAAACAGGTACAGTTGACCGAAGTGCGGTACATTTCCGTTTGAAGTTTAGGGAGTAGGGCGCAACTGCGCCAGTAGAACCTATATAATTCTTGGTAATTATTAAAATAAATTCTGTACATGAAAACGAAAAACGATATATTGTAAAAGATGTAGTTCCTAGACATATATTTATAGAATTTAAAATTCTTAAATTCAGAAATAATGAAATTTCAAGGTATAATTTTGTAAAATGTGTCGGCTACAAATTTGCTAATATCATGTCACAATTGTAGACAATAAGATAATATTTATATACATCGTTATATTTTAGCTTAGTTTACGGTGATTTTATTTAACAATTTCAGAAATTATTATATCATTTGGAACAGCATAGATCA